TACCTTCTTCAGTGATTCCTTCAAATCGTTTGCTTTGTTATTTTAGATCAGTTTCAATACTACAATTCCCACCCCATTGCAACACATAGTTCACCATGAAAACTAAAATCCAAAAAAAATTTCAGTCTGGTCGATGATCGATGTATAGTGGAATTACGCGATGGGCGACCAGAAAGTCCACCAAAGAAGTTTAGAGGTTAGGAAATTTGGGCGAACTCTGTTTGTTTCGTTTGATTTTGTATATTTTTTCGTTTTGTTTTCCATTTTACACCATAGCATGGTTTTATAGTTCCGTATCAAAAGAAATTTTTTTGAAGTCTGTACGCACGACTTTCCAGAGATCTTGAAGCACTCTCCTGAATAATTTCATTCCTTTTCCAGATTGCCTATTCAAAGTATGTCCAGTCAATAGATATGCAGCTCAAAAGCAGTATTGGACAGAACAAAAACGATTTATCAGCGGTGAATCGACATTTGATGATGATATGATGAATAAATTACGAATAGCCGCTGAAAAGGTACCCGTCTTTCGTTTCTTCTCTAATTGTAATCTATTTTCCTATAGTGCAATTTTTGTGAATCGCCAGTTATTGGAAAACATCAGATATCGTCTACGTGCCCATTGTTTTCAAATAGACCTCTTTTGGAGTGTGCCTTATGTTCGAATCCCTCTTAGAGTGGCAGCTCGATGGAATGGGTTCTGTAGTTCCCACAACAGTTCCAATTCCGACGTGGTGTAGCCCCAACAGTGACCTGGTATGCCCAGCAGGAATAGGGACTAGGCAATACCTAAAAATATCCCGTTGAATGTTTGTGGTATAAGATTAGATATGTCAACAAGAGACCCTGAACAGGCTCGCAAGGCCATTTGTCACTGTTCCAACCCTCAACTTCTTAAAAAGTGCCGCCTGTCCAAGAATATAGTTGGGAGGGGGTGTGGGTGAGATATAACACCACTATATCGTTAAATGGGACATTGACTAGCCTATTAATTCTTTTTCATTTCAGGAGAAAGAACAGAATGAATTGGAATTCCGTAAAACACAGGGTAATGTTATACAATATGGTACTACCGTACAATTACTACATGTAAAATCTGACAAATATGTAACCGTACAAAAAAATTCGCCTGCAAAATGCGAAAGAAATGCTATGAAAGTGAGTTCAAGTAATGATCATCGTTTTCATACTTTTCTTACTTTTCATGCTTTTCACACTCATACAGTACTGTAGCTTGTGGTTTGTTATTTAATTGCTTTTGCTGATGCTATGAATTTATTGTTCATTTGATCAATTTTTCACCCAATTGTCATACTCTAACTGTTTTTTTTCAAAATTTTGACCGCACTGTTCCAAAATCGCCTCATCTCCTACTAGAATGGAATTCTTGCTTTTCTCTCTTATTCTGCCTTTCCACACTTAGAAGGGATAGAATCCCTTTTCTTCCTGCCATTTCGAAGAAACATATTATTTTACTGATTTTGTTCACGATTTCTTCTCAAACATGACAAGCTCGGTGTGCTTATTGACAGCTGATCAAAATATTTTTTATATTTAAGCAGTATTTTTGAGAAAAATCTGGATGTGTTTCTATCGTCCACAAAAGATCTATGTCTTTCATGTCATACATGATACTACAATGTACTTTGTTCCCGATATTATTGTTTGCTTAGTCTTCAAATAGCAACTTGATGAAGAATTGATTATTCTTCAGGTTTATCTTGATCGAGCTGGAAACGAAGGCAGTTGGTTTATTATCGAACCAGCCTATAAGCACTATGTCATAGGAGATAGTGTGAGTGAACTTTTTATCATACATATACCCTTTTCTATCAGCATTCACGTAACGCTAATATGGCAAGAAAGGACACATTCAATCGTTTCTGTTGTCAGAGGCAACTGAAGTATTCATGGCGTATTGACCACATTCAAAACACGTTATAGGGAACGCTGCCGAAAATTAATAAAAGGTGTATGAGTTTGGGGATTCCGCACGAACTGTTCAAGTCTCAGTAGTAGACATAGTTTGAGACCATTGCATAAAAGAAATATTTTGATATAGTAAGTGAACAAATAAGTAATTGTAAAGATAATAAGTCGTATTTTGTTCTTTTTTTGCTCCTCTAGACATTTTTACTTTTAGGTCGCTGCTGGTAATAAAATTTCTTTGGTACCGTATTCTGTAAATAGTCAGACGTCTGGCCACGTCAAACATCAACTTCATCTGAGTCATTTTTTACTGAAAGATCATCAAACCGCTGCTGAGGTCAGTTACACTAACATCTAGAACATCACGGTCAATTCCCCGACATTCCGAAAATTCCAGGTGAACTGTCTTAACGAGTGTACAGAATGGCAAGTGTTCATGTTCCTGCTGTTCAACGAGAATCAACCAGATATCGTGAAATCGGTGAGGATCTGTCTTACTTTTCGATCAACTCAACTAACGTTCCCTTAACCCTTAACTATTTTCTAATTGGTTACTCTGGGGCTAAGAGACTCCGACTGCTTTCCATGGTCTAAAGTCCTTCCAGGACTGATGTTAGGATTATGCAGATTGCCACAGTGAAAGATGTAAATGTCCCCAAGTTACTCTACTGCGCCAAGAACTGGTAGAATGTAGTTACCCACTCAGCCAAGGCTACTGGCCACAGAATTTTGTTTTTTTCTACTATTCTTCGTCATTCTGGGTTGTTACTTAAGGTTTCCCCCATTACCGAAATCGCTCTCGATGCTACCCTACCGCTTCTCTTTCATGAATCTGAAACTTGATGTCTTGAACTCAAAACAACCAATTTCCAGGGTGACGTCGTACGTCTCTTCCACGCCGATCAGCAGACTTTCTTGACATTAGATGCAATTCCGAAGACATGCCCACCACAAGACGTTGTCTTCCTCCGAATGACAAATCGGCCATCAGCTGCTGACGCAACCAGTTCGAGGGCGTTATGGGAAGTTCAGGTAAGATTCTGCTAAAGAAAAACTTTGAAAGCCATAGGAACTGTTGGCACACTGCGAGTATCCACTGTAACTAGGAGTTCGAAGCTCTACTCTCACAATGGAGCTGCCAGTCTGTGGGCGACTACACGAACACAACTAAGAACGGGCATACTGTATTCTCGAAGTTTGTAGTAGATTTGGGACTCTCTCAGCGTACCACTCCCTTCGAGATGCTATCCTTTCAATTATGGGAGTATACTCCGCTGTCGCGAATGAAGTCTGCAGCCACAAGATTTGTCCATGACTGAAATTCGACTGTTTTGAGGGAACTCAGTAGGATTATGGTACCTCATAGATGTGAGAAGCGATGAAAGTAGTCGATTCGCATGAGAAAGTAGCCTGTGAATTTCGACCCTATGGACTGGTACACTACTATACTACTCTTATTCAGGTTGTGCAAAAAGATGCGTATCGTGGTGGCGCTGCAAAATGGCGTGAAGTCTACCGATTCAAACATCTTGCTACCGACATGTACTTGACAGCTATTCCGGCCACATCGCCGGTAAAACCAGCATCAAATGGGAGACGTGCCAGTCTTCTACATATGAAGTAAATTCTTACTTGTTTATTCATTTATTAAATATTTTTAGTGTCATTTACTTTACATTTACTTTTTACTCTATAAGAATTTCTAGGTGTTTGTCGTTATCGTTAGAGTGAGGTTCAAGTTACTATACTAGGGTTCGGGATTCAGCTTGAAGGCGTAATACCATGAAGCGTCGTTGGGAAGCGGGTGGGGTTTTGCAAACCAGAACCTTGAAAATAAGTGCTCTTCGAGTATATGCAGTGTTCTTGGAGGTTCCTTGGAGAATTTCCAAAATTCCACTGGTGCGCGGAGCGAAGTAGCGCGGCTGCCTGTACGACTTTGGGCTCTGAGGCAACTGAAAAGTTGCACTGAAGGTAGACCTTTGGTTAGACGAAACCAATATGGGGTAGCAGCCTGACCTGAGATGAATGGCGTATGTGAATTGCAACAGACTTCCGTGACCTTTGCGATATATACAGCAAAAGGGAATTCTAAAAGAGTCTTAATATCAAATGTTGGATACACTCTCAAGGGCAGCACATAGAGTTATCCTAGGGACCAGTTTACTATTCCTTGTAACTTATGCAGTTTTATCCAATTTTCATAGCTCTAAAGTTGCATTTACAGCAAGCATAAAGGTACCTTGGAAAGGTGAGTTACTCACAACTAGTTAAAACTAACAAAACAGACTCTGCATTTCTCGGATTTTGTGATACAGTATTCTTGCCCGAAAGGCTAGATGAGCTAGATGAGAAGGTCAAACCACAAAAATTCATGATTCAGCTGCGTGAATGAAAAATATGCCATTCCATAGACGAATACCTCATGTTTGGGTCATCGTATCATAAAATCTGCGAATGTCGAAAATGGCTAATGACTGACTAGCATGCCTCTGTGTTCATTGACTAACCTGCGTATGTCTACTACCCACATAATGCTTTTTTGAGTCATTACCCTTTTTTATTTGAGTATTTAGCGAAGTTTTTCTTACACTCTATTAATATCTCTTACTTATGAGGCACACCTCATTGTTCCAGGACGAAAGGTGAATTTCTGGCACCTCCACCGAATCAGCTGTACGCCGATGGACCTGGTAACAGTTTTTTACTTATCAGATTTTCTTTTCTGGTGGTCAGATACAAAGTGATTTGCGATATCCACTCTCGGTTGGTTAGGATAAAAAAGGATGTTTTCGGGATGAAGAAGGAAGTTCTTGGCGTTACTCAATCCCGTCTGTGGGATGCGCCCCCAGAACTCGACTTCCATTCAGAATCGTAGTGGCGTAATGAGTGCGTATG